AAAGTTTGTTTGACTATTGTTGCACTCATCTAGCTGGGAGCAGCAGCAGACTCATAAACCTCTATGGATTAGCCACTGAGGGAACATGTAATACGCACTGGACGGCGGAGTACCCAGGACCTATGGGCACTACTGCAAATAATCATTAATATTGAAGGAGCCCTGAATCCTACAGGGGGATTATTAAATTAAAAGTCCTTATTCTGTTAAAAAGAATTTTCACAGATTTTAAAACGTGTGTGAGAGAGAGTGAGAGAGAGAGAGCGTGAGAGAGAAATCAAGAGGATACTGTCCAGTGCGTGTCATTGTATTTGTATCTTAGTATGTTAACGTATGACAGTGAATGGACACAGACACTTTCACTGTTGTCTTGTCCACAGTGAGCCATTGATGAGTGATTATGCCTTAAAGCAAAAATATTCCCATCCTTTTAAGCCATTTAAAATAAATATAGGTAAGCGTAAGCCTGCAGCTTCTGTGGTTAAATGAGTTACTGGAGTGTGAATTATCAAAGCCAAAAAAGCCCATTTATCAAAAGATAACGATAGCGCAGAGTCCGAGTTACAAAATGAGAAGCCATTTAAGAGGCCTGCGCAAGGTTTAATTCCTTTTTTACTTCAAAATATCTAAATATATATTTCCATGTTCACCATATACCACATATGCTGTAGAAAGTATGTTAATATACACAACAATAGATGGTTCTCTCATAATGTGGTTCTGGTCTACTTGTGTGACATTCTGGGGAGACCTCTTGTCTGGTGCTCTGAGCAGCTCTGCGGCAGGTTCATTTCCTGGCCCCCCTCTTTCTCCCTTGGCTACTCTGGGTTTTGCTGTCTGCTGTGGGGGTGGGTGGGGCTTGAGGGGGAGTGGAGGAGGGGTGAGTAGGAACAGGCTTTCCATGAGCAGCTTTCTTATTGCCTTGTCAGGCTAGGTTATGGTCACTCCTTGCCTGTCATTCACATTGTCCCAGCTCATCTCCTGCTTGTCAGTCTTGAGGCCCAATTCTGTAAACCCTCACTCACAAATATTATCATTTTTATTTTGGTAGCACCTTAAAGGCGTTGGTTGGGGCTCCATTGTGCTATGCACCGTATAAGCATAGAACAGAAGATGGCGTCTGCCCTGAAACGCTTTCAGTCTAAAATAGTCCCATTGCAGTGACTTGTAGGACTAATAGGTGTTCACAGCAGAACTTTCCTTATTACAAATATAAGGAATACAGTAGAATCTCAGAGTTATGAACACTTTGGGAATGGAGGTTGTTCGTAACTCTGAAATGTTCGTAATGCTGAACAAAACATTAGGGTTGTTCTTTCAAAAGTTTACAATCGAACATTGACTTAATACAGCGTTGAAACTTTACTGTGCAGGAGAAAAATGCTGCTTGCTTTCTTTCTTTCTTTCTTTCTTTCTTTTTGTAGTTTATGTTTAACACAGTACTGTACTGTATTTGCTTTTGGGGGGGGGGGGGGTTCTCTGCTGCTGCCTGATTGCATACTTCTGATTCCAAATGAGGGGTGTGGTTGACTGGTCAGCTCATAACTCTGAGGTTCTACCGTACAATGAAAGAAATGACTTATCTTTGGCCAAGGTTTCAGCATATACTTGATCTTAAGTCTCCATTTATAAACCTGTTTTATTTATTCTTATACACTCTACTCTTTAACAATGAAGCAAGAAGGTATCAGGTTCTTTGTCATTCTTGAGTTGCCAAGGATCAAAAGGGTTTAATCAGCTAGAAAGAGAAGCCGAGAGGATTTAAGCACTGAGGAGGCTGGTCTGGCCCTTGTATCTTTGAAACTGGTGGCAGGCTTGAGGCGTGCCATTATGTGTGAATGGGGATTTCCTGGATCTGGCATGCTGGCAAACAGGGTGCCTCCCAAAGTCAATGGCCCTGTGCCGCTATACACCAGGCGCATGCCTTGAGCTAAGGCTGTACAACAAAGTGTGGCCTATTGAATGATTAGAACAAGAAAATGGGCATTGGGACTCTCAGGTTCTGTTCCCAGCTCTGCCATAAATTTACTGTGGGACCTTGAGCAAGTGACTTAACCTCTCCTTGCCTCTATTTCCACTTTTGGAAGTGGGGTATAATCCTATATCAGATGAGTGTGGTGGTGAAGATTAATTGCTATTTGTAAAGTATGTTGAGTATCCTTTAAAAGGCATTTATAGAAGTGTTAGAAAATGGTATATGATCCTTTCCCTAACTTCTATACTTAGAGCTAGAGTATAGGTGTGGCAGGGCAAGTAGTGGAAGAGTAGCCACCCTGAATACAGACCTCTCTAAGATGCTACACAATTTTTCAGGGTGGCTAGCCCCTCCTGCTGCAAACACTGCCACAGCTATATTAGTATGCTAGCTCCATCAACGCTAGCATGGGTATGTCTCCTCAAACTGGATATTACTCCCCCAGCTCGAAGGTAGACATACTCTGTAAGTGTATGGTTTCTAAGCATGTGAAATGTTTTGAATTGAATGCCAATTCCTAGTTTAGAAAAATCGTTTTAATGTATTGACAATTTCATCTGCCTCAGTGTAATAACCCATTCAGTTTAAACACAACTAGCAGTGAACATTTGTGTCCTGGAATAAATACTTGTATAGTGTCCACACTAGAATTTACAATTGTATTATCAAGTGTTAAAACATGACTAAAAGTTTGAGTGTACACAAACTCTCTGTATGAATACAACTCTTTAAATCCATCACCATTAACTTACTGGACACTTTGATCCTACAGAAGGCAGATTTCCTCACATTGATGTGACTGTTATAGAAAAAACATTATCTGCAAAAAACTTTATAACTAGAGCTTTTTAGAGTGAGTGGCCTATGTGGGGGAACAAATCAGAATAGAGCCAGCATCTAGAACATTCTATTCTGTAAAGGTTCCTATACTGCCCTCATCAACCCTAATATCAGCGTGTTCCAGGAATGCATTAAGCAGTGTGACTAACATCTATCGTGTGTGGTGCATGGGGATTGCCAGGCTGGATCAGATCCAAGGTCCATCTAGTTCAGTATCTTGTCTGACAGTGGCCAGTAGCAGATTGTAAAGAAAAAGGAGTAAGAACCCCGCAGTAGCAGATGTGAGTCTCATCCTGATCTCTAATAGTTAGAGGTTGGCTTAGACCCTGGAGCATGAGGTTTTATACCCCTTCCAAAATTTTTATCCAGAAGTATCATAATTCAGGATATGTTTGATATCTGTATTAATGACAAGTTTGACTCTTGCTAAACTCTTGGTCTCAACAACTTCCTGTGGCAACAAGTTCTATAGTTTAATCACGTTATGTGAAAAAGTATTTCTTTGTATCCGTTTTGAATTTGCCACCTTTTTAATTTCATTGTGTTATGAGACTGGGAACTTCTGTTCTCCCTGTCTACCTTCTCTACACCACTTATTATTTTATATACTTGTCCCTTCTTATTCATCTCCTTCCTAAGGCGAACAATCCCAGACTTTTCAATCTCTCTTCATATGAGTTTTCCATACTCTTGATACTTTTTTTTCACCCTTCTCTGAATTCCCTCTAATTCTGCAATTCAAATAACCTGTTACCTTCCTCCATGTCCTGGAAAGGTGATCTTTCTCTGCTTTTTAGATTACATTGTAGTCTTTCCTCTACAGATAGTTCTGGAACTGAACCCTCGATCTAAGATTGCTCCAACTTCTGGACCTGACCTGTTGGCTCCCCAGCTGAACTTCTCAGCTCTGGCTCCTCTTTGTAGTTCTCTCTGAACAGGTGTAGTCATGACTGTAATCAGTGCCAGTGGCGTCCGGGCATGCTGCTGTCTGCCATAAGATGGGATCGGGAGGTAACCTTCCTCATGTCATATGACTGGGCCCAGGACATAAACACCAACGCTTAACAGCATTTCTATGTCACAACTTCTTGTTACCATGACTCCCTGCAGGGGATAATATCGGATTCTAATGACCGAGTTGATGGGTAATAGTTGTTTATGTCAGACATTCTTCAAATAACTGCACTGTAGATCTTTGACCATAGATATGCAGATATCCTAGTCACCAGCTAAACTGCACACACATGCCACAGGGAATAGAACTTGGACTTTCTGCTTCATAACAGTCCTCTTCAGCCTCTTGCGCTAAAAGAGAGTCTTCCTTTACTGCCAGTTGCCTTAGGGCTTTTCTGTCCTTTTGCAGGCTTCCAGCCACTATGGGGGTACATAATCACACACACACACTGAAGTGGCTGTTGCTCTGTTGAGTAGAGGGCAGCACTGCCACATACACGCCAGCCTGTATATTACAATGCAAATGACCTTGTTTTTATTAATGTACTCGGTATTTCTGTATAGATGCTGCACCGGTTCCAGGACTGACAGACCCAAGACTGTGCTACATACTGGATGGGATCCTCTTCATCTATGCAGTCATCATTACGGCCCTCTTTTTGAAAGCTAAGGTTAGTCTAATCGCCACAGTGTCTCCTCAAAACACTGAACCATTTGGTGTTTGTCAGGCTGTATGTGGGCTGGGAAGTGGTTGGGGGAAGATCAGATTTTCTTGGATAGTTGCCTGGCTTGAAAGATGATGTATAAGCCTATGGTCTTTCAGCTCTCATTAAAAATGAGAAGTGCTGGGTTTGCAGATTGATTGTTGTGATGCCTGAGAGACTTTTGCTGAGCACTGGGATCTGGCAGGAGTGAAAGCAGTTCAGTATTTGAGTGCTGAAGATGTAGGGAAAGCATGGTAGGATTTCTTTGTGGTAAGGCCTTTCCTTTTCTGAAGTGGGCTGTGAGCACTCATAACTGATTTTGTTTTTCCAGAGCAGGGCCCAGAAGAGCACGAGTCCCAAGCATAAAATGCAAAATCTAGCAAAATGTTGCAGCTGATGATCTGTCTTGGTGGGTTAATTAAAAAGAAACAGGCAGTGCTCCTTCAAGAGTCGCACCCACTCACTATCAGAATATGGAAAGTACAAGGAGGGGCCTGGGAGATTTCAGAAAGTAGCCAGCTGAGTCACTGTAGGTGATGGTGGCAAGGTTTCCCCAGAGTCAGCATCCTGTGGGGATTCGGCATCTGCAGCATTTCTTCTCTCTCCACCTTAGAACTTGCTGGTGATTTTTCGCTCACACCCCACCTTTGGCCTGGTCTTTGGATGAGGTCTCAACATAAAGAATAATGCCAACTAGCCCCAGCCTGATATCGCCTCATTCAAGCCATGGTCAGTGCTCTTCCTGCCTTTACGCAACATGACGGCCATGTGATAATAGTTCAGCCCTGAAGGCTCAGGGACCCCAACACACCCTGCCAACAGAGCAAGGAATTGTGGGCCTGGTAGCCATTATGAGCACGTTTATTATTGTTGTGCCATGGGGCCTAGTCAGGGTTATGAAAAGACAATCCCTGCCTCAGAAAGATCACTATCACAACTTATGACAAGACAAAATGGGTGTATAAAACAGATAAACGGGAGTGGGGAAGGGGGACAAAATATTTTGCAAAAGCATCCACATTTTACTGATAAACAGTAGCCTCTGCTTGCTGAGGCATTCTCTGCTAGCGGTGTTTGCAAGCATCGCAGCAGAGGAAGAATTTGAGGAAGGATAAAGTAGTGGGTCTACCGATTTTTGGTGGGGAATATTTTTTCCTTCTGCACCAGGCGTGGTGTGGGAGAAGTGGGCAGTGAAGACGGGCATTTTTGCCAGAGAGGAGACGGTGTCAGAGGGATGGATGGAAACTTGAACACCAGTGGCTGGGGAACTCTAACTGAACTCCATGCAGTTCAACTGTTCCCAAACTTCAAAAGTGACTAGTGATGTTGGCTGTCTCAGGTGAAAACTCTTAGACATAATCTTTCCCTGAAGGGGAGGAATGGAGAGGAAACCTCACACGATAGATGCTAGTCTCCTTGGCCCAGAGCTGTAATGGTATTTAGCCTCCTAACTTTCATTGACTTCAATGGAATGAAGCCTAAGTACCTTGGTGGTTCTGGGTCCTTGTTAACTCTGTACGCTGCTCTGATACTACAGTGGTGGACACGGTATCAGAGGCTGCACAGAATAGGTAGGAGATGCTGGGTCAGCACTGCGAGTAGGTTTATGTCTCTTTGAAATGAAGAGACCGTGATAAATGGAGAGAAAGGAATACCTCAGGAACAGGGTTGAAAACGTAGGAGAAATCCCAAGCTAAACTGTGTTTTAAAAAAAAACAAAAAAAAACCCACCACTCTGGATGTCGAGCTGGGGATCGATAATGGATACATGGAGTCTTGGGAGGCTTGGCTCCGGCTGGGAGTGGTGACAGGGGTAAGTGGGCAGTGATGGGCTCTTGTTGACCTCTGATGGCTGTTCAGTTACCCATGAAGGGAGTTGGTGGCTTCAGTCCAATTCCCCCCAGAGGCCAATTTAAGGGAGCTGGGGGGAAGCACAAACCCCCCCTTTTTGCTAAAAGCAGAGGGGAGCATCCCTCCTCTCCCTGGCTTAGGCAAGCAGCTCTTCCCCAGCATCTTCAGCCCAAAAACCCGCTCAAAATGGACATCTTCCTTGGCAGCCTGCTGCAGAGAAGCCAAGGATTGAATAGGCCTGGAACTGGATCTCCCTTCTCGCGGGTCCCTCCCAGGCAGGGCAGAGGGGTGCTAGTTGGGGCGGGCAGAGGGGAAGCTTGCCCTGCAGCTGCTGGCACTCATCTGTTCCACAGAAAAACAGTGTCCCAAGGCAGCGTATCCACCACGAAACAGATGAAAGTGCTGCTCTAGGACTGCTCGTCTGTGTGAGGCTGCCAGAGCGAAAAGCCAGACACCAGACAGATGCCCCCCACACGCACATTGTACTTGACTGTGGGAGTCATGGACCTGCCCTGCTGTTGGGGAAAGAGAGTGATCATTAGGGAGGGCTCAGTAAAATTGCCCAGGAGCGTGTGAACCTGGAGCAGCAGGATGCTGAAGCCGGGGTGAACTAGCCCAGCAGTTGCTTGTTCCCAGCCCAGAACTCCTCTAGAGTGAGAAACCAAAGTGAGAGAAATTCATTCCCCTTCTAAGGTTAAAGCTTAGTGACAAATTTGCAGGGTGATTTGAATATTGGCAGCAGGTGCATGTAATCTGCTTGGAGATGTCCTAGGCAGTGGATTTTACCCATAGGAGATGGAATAGCCTACCTTCTGCAATATGTCTAGCTGTTAACTAAATGTATATACAGTAATAATTCAGTGATAGTAAATAAATAAGTTGCTGCTTCAGAGGAAGAGGCAAGAGGACCAACCCATCCCAGGTACCACTCCATTTATTTAAGATGGAGCTAAAAAATTGGAGTCTGCAGACTTCCCAGTGTCCTGATGGGGAGAGCAAAGAGGAGCTGTTCTGATTCCCCTCAGCAAGAGGAGTCCGTACACACAAGTCCTGTCTACCTGGTGTTCTTCCCTCTAGAAAGTGGTGTCTGTATACAAAGTTCTGTACATACATGCAGTGCAAATCCCTTACCTTAATTCATAGGTTAGGGCCAGAAGAGAGGGGTCAGATCCTCTAGTCTGTTCTCCTGTATATCACAGGGTTGCCAGAGCCCCTCCTCACCCATGCAAGGCTGGGATCACAGATCTTAAACGCAAGTTATGAATGTGCTGTCTTTGGTAAGCGCTTTTAGCTGTAAGTGTGACGCTAACGGGTATACAGCGATGCCTGCGTCCCTTCGAAGTAGTGGAGGTGGGGGATGCCCCAACATGGCAGGCACAGCTGCTCTATAGAGATGCGCTTAGAGCCAATGTCCTACTGTACCTGATTCAAAATGGCATGGGCAAAGCACCCGCCTTAAGGAGCGGTCACAGCTTCCAGGGATCAAACTGCATCTTGTAGACTCCGTAGGTTTGGGACCTGGTTACCCGAGATCATCTTTCTCCCCATGAATACGTACTACGCTAGTCAGGATCAGCAGAGGCTGAAGTCGAGTGCCCTCCATGAAAGTGAGGAGCTGCTAGCAGGGTGCTCTCTGAGGGTCCTCTATTTTGAACCCCACCTGACAATCTGTTGGAGCCCAGTCTTCTTAATCTTCCAAGCATGCAGCAAAGCTTGTCTCTTCTCTCTCTCAGTAAGTCTGCTGAGGAGGGCATCATTTGATGTGGATATATTTATGGGTGCACGTTTGTCTGCGTCTATTGTGATTAAGGTATGAGAGAGAGGCTCAGAGCACTGGATGGGCCCCTAGAGATGCATCTTTTTAAAATGAATGAATAGGCAATGCAAACTGACCTTGTAAACTCCATTGTGGTAAGAAGTGGCGTTTATAAACTCTGTAGCTTACAGACGGGACAGGACTAAATGTCAGACTAAGTTTACATTGCTGGAGTCTGTCTGCTTGTTTTCAGCACATAAAGCAAATCTGAAATGTTTAGGCCAAGCTCCTTTTGAGCTATGAGAGATTAAAACACTTGTAAAAATTTGGTGGTTTTTCACTTTTTGAAAAATCTCAGAACTCAAATGGCTGCTTTTAATTTATACTCTTCCCCTTCCTCCCTCTCCCCCCGCCAAAAAAAACCCCAACAGCAACAAACAACTAAGCCTGGGCAGGCCAAGGAGAAGTGTGTGTGGCTGGTTGCAAGAGTTGTGGAGATGGGAGCAAAAGTATTCAGACTTAAGAGGAAAAATTTCAAACACCCTTCCCCAACCTATATAGCATCTTCTGCCATTGCACAGCCTGGGGACTTAAAAGGTGTCCTTAGTTTTTTAGAGCTTGATCCTGCAGGGCGGGGCCCATGAAAGACCTCATTAATGCTAGCAGCCCTTGTCCTCATAAGAGACTTTCCAATAACGGACTGCATGCATTGGCTTGGAGCACGACGGTGACCCTGCCGTAACATGCCTGTGTGCACGTGCACAGTGGAGGAGAACACTCAGTAAGAAATCCTGTCTGTGTTTAAGCTTCCAAAGGGCTGTTGTAAAGCACCATTAAAAGCATGATCAATCCCTTAGAGTGGACTGAAATACAAAGGAAAGCTCCCGCGGAAAGCAGGGCAGGAATTTGTATATTTTTTGGCCCTTTTAGGCACCCCAGATGGCAAACTCTTGATGGCACTGGCAGGGCCACAGGCTGTTAGTCTGTAGTTTCCCCACCTAAGGTACGAATAACTCCCCGAGGGGCTGTATCTACTATGCTGCTGTTGCCAGGTGCTCACTTTGCTTTCTCTCTCTTTCAGTTCAGCAAAGCCCCTGAATCCCCGGCACTGCAGGGCCAGAATGACGTGTATAATGTAAGTGACTGCTGCTCTTATGTCAACATGTTTTTAATCTGCTCATCCAGACATGCGCTCTCCTCTCCTCCTGCTATCCTGTGAATGAGATGGCGTTTTTCTGGCCAAAAGGCTCAGGATGGTCTGGATGAGGCAGACTAATGAGGAACAATCACAAGTGGGCAGTGTAGTAGCTACAAGGGGAAGTGACTTCCCACCGGGGCTAGCGCCTAACGGCTCACCTTGGGGGGGAAACTTCCTTCTCACTCACCTGTTACCAACAGAACACTAGGACTCTGGTTTAAGGCTTGACTCTATTAATGTGCAGGAGGTGCACTTGGCATGTCCATTCACCAGAAGGATAGGAGCAGTTAATTCTAGTATTGAACTGGTGCTCTCCAGTTGGCAGCTGTAGCCTGTCCAATGCATGCACAGGGGTTGGGGTGTGGATCACAAAGTGCTGTCTGTGAGTCCATGAAACACACATGTGCCCATCTGCATATGCTTTCCTCTACAGAGGGCCTGACCCTGCAGTACTACCTCACACTGAGTGGTATGTACTTATTTGAGTAGCCTCATTTAAGTTGCCTGCATCTTTTCACTGCTCCGTGTGATAGGATTTAGAATATGGATCTCTGGAATGCAACACTTTAAGGGTCAAAGGTGAACTCTTCCCAGATTATTTATTAACTATTGCTTGAATGTTGCATTGTGGATCCCTGGAAAGGGAGTTCACCATAGATGGTCTATAAGGTACCAAGTCTAACCTCTATGCTTATAAAGAGCACTCTAGTAATGGTCCAGAGCAGTACACTTGTAATAGTCATAGTACAGTATGTGGAGCTATTGTACAATATTATGTATTTTCACAAATAAATGTCTGTCTTTTTTAAAACAAACAAACAAACAAAC